GTAGCCTATGAGGCCTATTATTTGCGAACGATTTTATTATTTATTTTGTAATCGAGCTAGCATAGGCCAGGGCCTAGGCAGCAAGGAAATATACTTGGTAATGTTTTCACGTTTCGTCAGAATTAACTGACATTATTCATAATAATATATTTATTATTTTTTCTCAATATATCTCATTTAAACCAAGACAGCTCTTAAATTATTGTTTATTTTCACTGTGCTAAGTTTTTTTTTTTTTCAATATTACCGTGCAAGTATATTTAGGCCTAGGCCTAGGCCTACATGGTTCTGTAACTTGTAAATATAATAACATTTTTCCTTGCCCTAATTATATATATTTCCATTGCAACTTAACATTGAAGTTATTTTGGTAAAAAAGTAAAATGTAGGGCTGTCAGTTCCTATTGTTTCTTCATTTCTGCAATAAATAAAATATTATTTGCAATATTTCTCTTTTAAGCAAAGACCTTTTACATACCTCTATATTTTAATATTGGTATTTAGCGATCTCATAACCACCTAGTGTACAGCATTATAGATAATCCTAGTACATAATTTCGATTTTTCTCTAATTTCGAGCAAACACACAATCAACCGCACCCCAATGGCGTCATGTATCATTAATTATCCGTTGCCATGTGAACATAAAATGAAGAAGATGATTAAGAATTGACAACTGCAGTAAATTGAATACTGTATCTGTCTCTTATACACATCTTACAGTGTTTGAATAAAGGACTTAATAAATACATCGTGTAGCATCTGTCTCTTATACACATCTAGATGTGTATAAGAGACAGACGTAGGCCTATCCAATATTTCACTGTTGTTGGAATATAGTAATATACTGCCTATGTCTTTGATTTTTTTTTTCTATAAATAGGAAGAGACAAAATTATCTGACCTGTTTCAAGAGGGGGAAAACCTTGTTTTTAACTTTTAAAGGTCATTAAAAAAGACACCTCAGAAGTCGGGAAAGTTCATTGCGGCCATTAGAATCAACATTTTCCCAGGGGAGGACCCCTGACTTTTATTAATATTGTTCTGTGTATACCATTTAATTTCTTCAATTTCAAACAAATGACCGCTGATATTCGTGTAATTTTTGTATTTTAAATGAATATTATATACCCACTATCATCGTCTTCTAATCGGATTAAAATCTGGCCAAATTTTGGCCGATATCGAAAAAAAGTTTGGCCGAATTTGGCCGTGTGATGGCGTGAGGCCGTGAAGCCTGTCGACTATCTCTCTGGGCAAAACCCTGGCCGGTCAAGTAGTCCAGCAAACTTTGGTTGGTTGCATTTTTTTTTGCTATATTTTTTAAAAATTGGATATGATGTAGAGTAGACATAGATAAATCAAAAAAGTATGTGCAACATTTTTTTTTTCATACGTAAGGGAGGTTGCCAGCAGTTTCAAAATGGCCGCCAATATTTCCTAAAATTGTCACTAATATTGTAAATTTATGTCATTAAAATGCAGTATTCAATTGAAAATCCACTCATAACAATGACAACAACAGTTAACTAAATATTGTACACATTTTTGAGCTATTACAATTTAAAATGGCTGCCATTTTCCATTGTTTTAGCTTTTTAGCATACATATTAATATAATAATAACCGACCTGTACAAAAACCTGTAATAGAGCTAGTTATATGCAATTGCCATATGCTATTATGATTATTACCATAATATATATATATATATATGATATATATATATGATATATATATGATATATGATATATATATGATATATGATATATATATATATGATATATATATATATATATATATATATATATAATTATATATATATATATATGGAAAACAACAATCCGCAATAGCTTGATATCGGTAGATATATACATATATATTTATATATATATCATATGTATATATGATATATATACATAATATGTATATATGATATATATACATATACATATATATATATATATACATATATATACATATTTATATATAATGTGTGGGTGTGTGTGTGTGTTAGTATTATGTAACCATATTACATAATATAATTTACTTATACGTGAACTTCATTGGTTGCAAATTGATGCCAGAATTCAATATAAAATCCTTTTACTGACTTATAAGTCACTGACTCTCAATCAACCCGCATACATTAATCAACTTCTTCCCAAATATGTGCCTGGCCGT